AAGAGAAATTAGATTTAAGTTCATTTTTTAAACATGTTTTTCTATAAAACTTTGATTTTTATTCTGCAAGAAATTATATTTAAAATCCTATTTCGATGATTAAAATTTAATAAAACTTTACAAATATTAATAAAAATTGGATTCAAGTACATTTTTTTTAGTATATTTTTATTATAACATTTATTATATTAGATATCTTTTGATAAACTTGTTAATTTTATTGAATATCTATTAAACTAATCAAAATTTAATAAATATTAAGAGAAATTGGATTTAAGTTAATTTTTTTAACATATTTTTGTATAAAACTTGGATTTTTTATTCTGCAAGAAATTATATTTAAAATCCTATTTCGATGAATAAAATTTAATAAAAGTTTATAAATATTAACAAGAACAAAAGATGGATTTATGTAAATTTTTCTTTTATAATTATTTTTGTATTTAAAATGCATTTACATGATTAAAATTTAATAAATGTTTATAAATATTAACAACAAAAAAATGGATTAATGCAATCTTTTAATTTGCATTTTTTTGCATAAGACAACATTGAATATATAAACACTCAATTCACAATAGACAAATTTTCAATTAAGCAATTTTTCGTTCCGGTTCAGTTAAAAAATTCCGGTTAATTTCAGGTTCGACTCTGATAGAAATTAATGTATATTTTTGCTTAAAACTTTGATTTTTTATTTAGCAAGAAATTCTTGCAATATTTTGCAAAATCGTATTAATTATATTTAAAATCCTAGTTCGATGATTAAACTTTCATAAAAGTGTATAAATATTAACAAAAAAATGGATTAATGTAATTTTTTTTGTAGAGTTTTATACATATAAATGTTTGCATATTATAAATAACAGATTAAAATATACATGGATTTTTAATGATTTCTTTCATTAATAGTGCATGTTGAAACCTTCTCTCTTTTCCTCTTTGATTTATGAAGAATATTTTGTATAGAAATTAATGGGATGGGCGCGAGACGCTGAGTTATTTAAAAGAAGTGCGATATTAATGATCCCAGAGCTTAAAACATGATTTTAATATTTACCCGTTTACAAACCCAATTTCTCCAGCGCTTTTATCATTCTTTTAACCCATTTTCCATGCAACTATTTTTCATAAATGCATAATTAATCGCCTTCAAAAAAATATAAATAAATAAATAAATAAAATGAAGAGACGAACAAAAAAGAAAAATAGAAGAAAAGAGAAGAAGTGTTGTGTGGGTGGCAGCGAAAATCCGCCTCCTGCAAGGCGAACAGGCAGCATATTATGTGCTATAAATATTAAATTTTATTAACATAAATTTGCGCTACGCCGAAACCGATTTGCATAATCGCGATGCAGATTCTCTCCGACGCCCGTGTTTCTCTCTCAATTTTTTTCTTCGTTTCCTCTTCTTTTTTTCAATTTTATTTTGAAATTGACGACGAAACGGAATTCGCGCGAAGTAATATATAAATAAATAAGGGTGCGAGAGTTAAATTGTGCGAAGGGTGTAACAGAAAAAAAATTGGTGATAATTCCTCCTCTCCTCTCAACACCGATCTTTATCTCTTCTCTTTCCGCCTCTCATTTCGAGTCATTTCACCGGGAGAGTGCTTTAAAATTGTAATTGTCCGGCAATTGCTCAGAAGATTTCAATTCTCCACCCTTACATTTCGCTATTTTTTGTGTAGATTCTTTGCGTTCATCCCCTTTTTTCCTGCATTATTATACAAAAAACCTCCCCAATTTTTAGTACGCTTTTATGCACATTTCAAATACTTGAATGCATAAGCTAATTTGTATTAATGTATCAATTAATTTATATATAATTAGCACAATTCTAGCTTTTTCTGTAATATATTTTTTTGTTCGAAAAGTTTAATTATATTAGATTTTACAAAAAAAAACTGATTAAACAAAATCTGCATTTTTCTAAACTAATTCAATCAACAATAATGTTATATAATCAACAAAAGCATTGATTCTCAAAACGTATGAAAATTAATTAACTCTTTGAACAAAAAAGTAAAGAGAAATATTGCATCAATTAAGGAAACTGAGAGAATGAAATAAAAAAAAAGCATTGTAAAATCCAAATTGGATCAATAAAATGAACAGAACCATTAGCGAATCAAAATATTGTCGTAATCGTTTCGAGTGTTTATTGAAGCGAATCGCTTTAATTATTAAAATTTGCAAGCGATACCGAAAGATTTTCCATCATTTATTTATTCATATATTTTTTCCACTACGTTTTGCCGTATTTCTTTCGTTGTGCGGAAATGAATAAAAACATGGACGAGGATCTATTATTCTATGAATTTTCTCTAGCAAACGGGGGCAGCGAAACAGGAAGAGCAAAAAAAAACACAAACTTCGGTTCGGTTGCGCTCTTACAAACACATATGTGGAAACTGGGAGAGTTGAATTTCACCCTTGCAGGTATTTTCATTTCCTCTCTTCTTTCTGTTTTTCACTTTTTTTTGCATCCCTAGAACGGAATGCATGTGAACGCGTAAATAAAAGATCGTGATTATTTGCGGCCCTTTTTCATGTTCGGATTTTCGGGCATCGCTCTTAAACTCGCAAACCGAAATGTGGATTCGTAGAATCCACGGATGCATGGCAGCTTCAACAACAACAAAAATTGTCAATGCATCTTCGATATCTGCTGCTGCGGTTGATGGTATGTATATACATTGCATCCGTTTACACCTGCTTCTAGGATAGGTATAACAAACAGCACAGCAGTTTGCATGCAAGATATTACCAATGAGGATCGATGCTTGTGCGACAAGCGTATCGGTTGCAGCAGCAGCGGCAGCATCCACCATGGACCAAAACCGCATGGGAGACAAAAGCAATTTTGGTATACCGTAAACACTTACGTCCGTCCAGTTGATACCGCAAAACGTTAAATCTATATGATCGATAAACCGCAGAAACAGTTTTATCAAAAACAGTATCTAATATACACAATTTTGATTGAATTTCAAATCAAATTCAATTAAAATATCAAAAATCAAATGAATTCATTTGCGTGACGAAACTAAGAAAAAATGCATTTAAAATATCAAAAATCCAATGAATTCATTTTGGAGACGAAACTAAGAAAAAATGCATTTAAAATATCGATTTCAAACTAAATTAATTAAAACTTCAAAATTAACACAGAAAGATCACAATCGTTAATAATTTCCTGTAAAGTTATTGTTTTATTAGAATTTAGATTAATTTCAATAATGAAAAATGAGACTCTTGCATTTATATGAAATGCAAATCCAATATTCGTCTTGGCCAATATTTGTCTGTTTTGATAATCGTCCTGTTTTTTTTATGAAAATTTTGTTTGATATTCGTTCGAAAAGTCAATGACCATTGAATAGTGATAGTTTGTCTCGAGCGTGTTAATTCTTATAGGAAAATATTTATTTATTTATTTTTAATGTTTGTCCTCTTCTTAGGAATTGTTTAAAGACGAATATTGCTAATCTCTTAACGAGAACAATCCGTTCCAGAATTCCTAGATTCCTTACTCGTAAAGCGAAACATAATATGTCTGAACACAAGTTTGGAAAACGATGTAGCAGACTCACAATCCGAGGCTTCTCTTCTTCTCGTCACTCGTTATGCGAGTATTTGAAAATGAAGCTAATATTTTATCATCATTTATTTCATCAATATTTAGTTGCATACAAAAAAAAAATTAATATTTACGCATTAACTAGTGTAGTACTAATTAAAACTGGTTGCAATTAGTGTTATTACTTATTTAAACAAAATAAGAAAATTTAATACTTTTTTAAATTTTGAATGATTATCTTTCATAATTATTTTAGATGCAAATCACCAAGTGATATAGCAAACATATTTTTATCATTTATTTACATTATTTTTAAGATGTTCAATTATTATTTTTAATTCACATCTCTTAATTAATTTGACAAAAAAAATGTAATAAAAAATCTCACAAATAAAGTTTAAAATTGAATAAAACTTAATGTTTTTGCTTAGATATAAATAAATAATATTAATTTTATTTCTTAAATGTGGAAAATATTTGTTGATTATATATAAAGTATAATAAATTTGTTGTTTTTTTTTTAATTATTGGAATAATAGAACAAATTTAATATTTAGTCAACTGCTTCAAAGGGCTGTTGACCTTAGGTCTTTCTTTCCATATTTTAATTATTTAAATTATGATTAAAGTTATGAATTTTTTGTTAATTACCTGAATAATTCCTTACAGAACATTTATTTCCTTTACAAAATTAATGTAACTAAAATGTAAGTTAATTTATGATGATTAATTGCAACGTAAATTAATGAAATGTTAATAAATTTGTTATATTTTTTAATGATGATCAATGTGTTCTCTTGTGTATTTGTGTCTCCAAACGTTTTGTGTTAGAAGGTAACGATCGGTGTAATCAAATATTGGTTTGTATCGATTCGAAGTTGAATACCGCCAGAGCCACCCCTTTTTAATTTCGCCTGAGTGTAAAATTTAATCAATTTTCCCTTTTGGAAGCGACCGTGCACTTGGTTATTTTTAATTCCGCTGCTTTCCTCTCTTACTTTCTCTCTTACATTAACAAACTCGTTCCATCTTTCTTTCGCTTGTAGTTATTGCTGCTTATGCGATTGGTCCTCCTCCACCACTAAACAAATTAATATTTTTCCGACAGCAACAAGTCTGGTTGTGCCCAACAAAATAAAAAGAGCGGCAGCATGAGGAGAAGGACTGCTTTTATGTTACCTGAATACATAATCATCAGCGATGCGGCTCGTTCAATCACTTTAATGCCCTGTATTATAACGAAAATGGATCCCGCGCGCCCTTTCACGCCGCCCTTCTATTCTACTGCCGCAATTCTGGCAGAAGCAGTAGAAGCAAACAGAAGCGAAGCGTACTCGCCGCATCTATGCGAGAGATGCGTGTGCAGAGGAAGGGTGGAAGTCTGTTAACGTTATGTAGATTGCAATGCATCGCTCACCTGTCGTAGTAGTAATCCCTGCAACAAGATACAAAAGTTATACACAGACATTATGCACGAAAATTTCAATGCGCCGAAAGGGCATTCAGCCCTGCGGCCCGTTCAGAGTAATTGCATGCAATGTTGAGGATAGCGTGGGTTGAGAGGACGAGGACGAGGTGGAATGGTGAGTAGAGTGATGAGGAGAGGAGAGGGGAACGAAGCAAGTGGTCATTAGTCATTACGTAAGTCCCGGGTACAAAAGCCATTCACGGTTGTGCGGATCTCCTTTCTTTATTCCGGCCAAGCAGACCGTGATCTTGCATCTCGCCCATTGCGCCCCATTCGCGCATGAAATCTGTCCCATTGCACAACACTCAATAATAACCGAGCGCGTCGGATGCGGCGCCCCTTTCAGCCCACCCACACCCCCTTTTCAAAGCTCAGCCCAAACGCCCGTCGGCTCTGCCACACACACAGACACACAATCTACGAAACAAAAGACCGTCAACAATCCGGAAATAATCCTCAAAAAGAATTCCAACAGTTTTACAGCCAAAATCATATTAAGAATAAATCCATTCTCTAAAACCTATTTAAATATATTCAATGAAATAGAAATAGTAATAATATTCCATTAGTTGTAAACGTTCATTTTAATTATTGATTAAATCCAGATAATTTTACGTAATTATCAACTAAGAATGTCACAAAATTATTATAAAAAAATTGGTTGAAATTCTATAAAAATTATTTGGAGGAGTAATTGTAAGGATTTTACAATAAATTATTACAATATTTCAACTCACACTGGAAATCACAGAAATAACTTTTCGTAATTATGAACGTCACTATTGAAGTAATTTCACATTTTTTTTCAATAAAAATTGCATTAAATATTATTGTTTAATAATTCATAAAAAACTGAGTTATTTATATAATTGATAAACAATATATTGATATAAGAATTGTGAAAAATGAGGGTTGTTTAAATTTAAAAATTATATATAAAAATATGTGTCTTTTTTTATTGAAAATAAAATTAATTAAAGAGAAATTATTCAAATATTATTAAAGACCACAATCAATTGTGTTTTTGCATGCAATTAATTATTATTAAAGTATAAAATATTTTATAGTTAATTAATAAAATACGAATATTTACCAGCTTGGAAATTAATTAAATAAAGTATAGTATTTTTTTTTATTTCGATGTTAAAAACGTTTATAAATATAATTATAATAAATACATTTATAAACTTAATGTTTTTAATTGCAAATTCACTTTTTTGTTCTATAAAAAAAATTATTGAAAAATTAAATGTAATTATAAACAATCGCTGTAAAAAAGGTAAATATTTAAATAATATTTATAACAAAGTGCACAAAATACTTTTTAGTTAATTAAAAAGTTAAAAATGTAGATAAAAAATTTGTTGAAAATTGCTTTAATTTTGAAAAATTTCACTAGATTTTAAATGAAAATAGATTTTTTTTGAGGTAACGTGTAAATATTTAGATATTCAGTACGAACCAAAGCGAAAAATGACTTCTGATTGATTGAAAAATTGAAGTAAAAGAACAAAAAAGTTGTTGGAAATTGCTCCAATTTCTAAAAATGTATTATTTTCTACTTACTAAGATTCATTTGCCCAAGGAATGTGTGAATATTTTAATGGTCAATACGAAAACAAAAAATAGCGAAAAGGAATTCTGATTTATTGAAGTTTTAGAAATTTATATTATTTGTTGAAATTTCTTTTAGACATGTAATCAAATGCAATTGGCTGAGGAAAGATGTAAATATTTATATGTTGGACACAAAACTAAATAAAAGAGATTTCTGATTAATTGTGTAAATATTCTGATTCTGATTAATTGAAAAATTAATATTTTTTGTTGAATTTTCTAAGAAAATCATTAGATTTTAAATGAGAATATCAAATACAATTGGCCGATTAAAGATCTAAATGCAATGTATATTTAGATATGCGGAACGAAACAAAGAGAAAAGATTTCGGATTTATTGAAGTTATAAAAAAAATAATAAGTTTTGTTAAAAATTGGTTTAATTTCTCAAAAAAATATTATTTTCCACTTAAGTTTTGAAATGAAATGTAAAACATTAAACGTATTTAAATTAATTTGCTGAAGAAATGTGTAAATATTCAAATAATCAGTACTAATCAGTATTAATTGAAAAATTAAAGTTATATTTTCTTTTAAAAAATGTTGCAAGTTGCTTTAATTTCTATTTAAGAAGATTTGAAATGATTGGCGAAACATAAAATGTAATGAAATGAATTTGCTGAGGAAGTGTGTAAATATTTAAATAATCGGCACGAAACAATAGGAAATATGATTGCATAATGCATACAGATATGTGTGTATGTTTGCGCAGTTACAAGCACGAAGGGACGTTCCGTTAAATAATCTAATTATCGCATAACGTGCATAACGCGAAGGCGCGCGCTGTGTGCTTTTCATTAAAGCCCAGACGACTACGACGAGTAATAATAATAATTATGTCCAGGTAACAAAAAGGGGAAAGGTTTGGATTTGCAGCGTGTGATGAGGAGGACGGGGGGGGGGCGATGCACATCCAATTACAGGAGTCGTCCCCGCAAATCACGAAACCGGGTGCTCATTAAAGGACGCGTGCATGTTAATTAAAAAAAACATAAAAAAAACTATAGAGGACGACGCACACAATTTGCGTGAATGCAGTCGTCGTTGTTCAATGCTTTCTCCTTCTATTCCATCCAACAACCTTTTTTCTCTCTCTCTCTTTAGTTCTCTTCTCTATTCCAATTTCGTTTCCTGCACGTCCCTAATTGAATCCGCAGGATAATTAGTATGCACGGTTAAGGCAACCCCCGACACTCTCAACAACAACAACAACAACAAACATCGGCTGAATTCTAGAAACCGAAAAAGATACTAAAAAAAAAATAGGTTTTTCTTTGTTGCGGAAAATGAAATATGGATGCAAAGCAGCAACAACAAAAACAAAGAAAAAAACAAAGCAGCAACAAGGATGTGAGCATGTGTGTGGATGAAACAACATCAGCAACAACAGCAACAAAAAAAATAAAGGTATGAGCATAGACTGCGGCTGCCGAGGACTAATTAATAAATTTTCGAGATCCGCGCATGCAAATTCGCACGTTAACTGAATTGCAAATTGTTTATTACACAAAGTGCGTTCATTATAGCGGAAATTAATTATTAAAGTAATTCCGAAATAAATTTGCAAGAGTTATATAATAAATTTCATATGTACGCATTTATTTATTTAGGTGTATTCGGTGAGTGCACGTGAATGGTAGATGCGAATGCACAAATGTATATATATATATATATGATATAAATGAGAGAGAGAGAAATGCGAATAGAGAGATGAGTGAGAGAGAGAGAGGTGGATGCATGCATTCTGAAATTTAATTAAAATTAACGCTATTTGTGTTAATCCCCATCCCACCACTCTCTGTCTCTCTCTTCAATATGTGAATATTTTCCTCGAATGATTCCATATGCAAAACTTATTCATTTATATTTCACTCGCATAACAGTTCGTGCTTCATAATTACCATCCGCAATTATTTTTTTTCCCTCTATTTGTCTCCATCCATCCATCCCTTTTACAAGAACAAATTAATTAAATACAAATCCAAGCCAAGCGTACACTTATAATCAACTCTATACATATTTGATAATACTATTATATGCAAAGTATTGTCGTGACCAACTTCCACTTTCCTCCTAATTATTACAAATCTTATTTCACGTATACATACGTAAGTGATTATTTAGAATAAACTTTCTTTATTCAAACTTCCTCCCAGTAATTGTCTCAGGCTAAAACCAAAAACAAAAATCTCATTCCCTACAGCTAAGCTGGTGGAGAATCTCGAATCTGATGTTCCCATTTTTAATGATCTCATTCAAAACATTAGCCCATTCTTTCTGTGATGTTCCAATTTCTTGCTTCTTATTTCTTAATGTGTTAATTTGTATTTATCTGTCGTTAAATAGTGTGTTAAATTTTTTTAAGTGGTGTCTCTAAAATGTGTAAATCTTAAATTTCTCTAAATGCGTACTTCTTATTTCTTAATGTGTGTTTATCTGTCCTTAAATAATGTCTAAAATTTTTAACTGTGTCTCTAAAATGTGAAAACTGGTGTTCTCTAAAATGTGTAAATCTTAAATTTCTCTAAATGTGTACATCGTTAAATGTGTTTCTCTAATATGTCTAATTATGTTCAAAATCTGTTCGTGTTTAAAAACACATTTCTTGCTTCTTATTTCTTAATGTGTTAATGTGTATTTATCTGTCCTTAAATAATGTGTAAATGTTTTAACTGTCTCTAAAATGTGAAAACTGGTGTTCTCTAAAATGTGTAAATCTTAAATTTCTCTAAATGTGTACATCTTTAAATGTATTTCTCTAAAATGTCTATTTATGATCAAAAACAGTTCCTGTTTAAGGAATGTTCTGACTTACTCTACAAATATGTGCTTCTTATCCTTATAATGTAAAATATTTTTTTTATATATATATCAAAATCTGTGAGTTACAGCTGCATGCTGAAAGAGATTAGGCTTAAGCAGTATGACTACTTATGTAAAACTCAAATATGTAACCCATTTCACATATAAATAAAAACATTTAAAACAATAATATGTGGAATATTCCGAAGAATGGTTACACTTTAAATCGTATAGTTGCGTCTATTTTATCACAACTTAACAACCTTCTTCCGCCCTTAAATATTTGGGTAAGATCATAAAACTTAGATAAATAAAAGTTTGTGTTTTCCACAAGGTCAAAACTGAATTGCTTATCTCCAACGCCTTTCCTTTTTTAAAGAGACACATTTTTGTATTATATAATTAAGTCTTAGAGGGTCCAACGAAGTCTTAAATGGAGGGTTGAAGTGTGAACATGGTCTTCTTGGAGAGTCCAGTGAAGTACACTTGCTTCGTAATTATTAACTTAAGAAAAGAATGTATCTTTTAGTTAATAATCCATGAGATCA